GAGAGCCCTGCAGTAGATGCCCATCATATGCATTGCAAATGAATCATTAGCCGTCATCCTGCAATCTAGGTCAGGATGGAGCCAAAGGGAAGGGCTTTTAAATCGGCTACAGGGCTCAGGTTGGATCTGCTTCTGTGAAGGCACAAGAGACAGACACACGTTGGGGTGAGGCATTCTAGGGGGACAGAAAAATGCTTTCACCTGATAGAGGGACCTTTTCCTGACCCAGAGAGTAATCAAGAATAAAGAGGGTTGTATTTTCAGATGAATGCCATTTAAACACACACACACACACACAACTTTTCTCTAAGCCTTCTGTGTTCAACTTTCCAGGCCCTGAAGAGTGTCTGCCAGATAGATGTTAAAAGGGAGAGAATATCTTTCAGACTCAGGAACATGCGGGTTGTGTTTTAAACAATACAGTCTTACACTATTTAGGTCGAAAAGGACTTTACAAGTCATCTACTCCAGGCACCTCGTGTTGAATAAGAGGATACGAAACAAGGAGAGAGGGACTTACTTGCCCAAGGTCATACAAGTCACCTTCATCATACAACAGTTTAATTTTCTTCTGTTTCTTAAAGATTCCGTTTTGTGCAATAGGAATAATTTATTAAATAAGGCAGAAACAAAACAAATTGACTTGGTAACTGCCACCTGATAAACTAGATCTGTGTCAGATGCTCTTGCCAGGTGCCTCATCCTTCCCCCAAAATGATTATGAAAGCCTGCTGTTTGCCTGCAGGACCACTGTCTTGGGGGTCCTTCCTGAAAACCTCCTGCCCTGGCTTTAACATGATTATTTTCTGGGCATATTGTGGCACTCAATCCACTTGGCCAAAGGCTCTGAAACTTTGTGACTCCTGCCCTATCCCTCTGGGGCCACAAGAGGCTGGCAGTGTGTGTTTTTCTAAATACGTTCTGAAATATCACTAAAACTAGAGACATTTAAATAGAAAGACTTGGATTTCAAAATTAAATCCAAGCTACGTACTAAATGTAGTTGCTAGGGTTGGTTGGCTATTTCTTTTATTTGCCAAAATCATAAGAAAACTTAAAGGTCAAATGGGATAAGAGGAAAATATACAGGCAAGAAAAGAAGAGAACCGGTTTTATCTTTAACTTGAACACTGGATTTGCTACAAAGCGTCCACATGCTATCCAGAAGCAATGTTGCCTTCTCTCTAGGCCTGGCTTTCCTCTTGCTTTTCCTCTTTTGTATGAAGCAAAAGAAAACCAAATGATCTCCAGGCTTCCAGCATTAGGGTTATGCCATTCCAATGATATCTCCAAAACTGACTTCTTTTTTGGAAGCCACAGTCACTGCAGAATGATCTGTAGCTATTTCCAAGATGTGAACTGACACGTTAGTGTCTGCTAGATTTACGTAAAGCTTTCAAAGGAGGTAGTTCCACTATTGAAATAATTCTCCAAAACAACGGTGACTGACTTGGGACTAAGAGCTTAGGAATCTAACCCTCTAACTAGTATTTTTTTTCCCCACTTCACTTTCCAGATTGACTTGTGAGGGCTTTTATTTTCTTTCCCCTCTTCCTTCTTTTAAAAAATTTGTTAAGGCCTGAGGAGAGCTAGGAATATGGGGTACGCACTATGTGTAGGCACACATAAATAAGTCAGCATAAGCCTGGTTCTTATCTAGCCTGACCACTTCAGTAGGAACAGAGCTCTGTATTCAATTTCTTTGGCCACCACAACTTGAAGGTTATAGAATATTCTATTTCGGGACACCTTTAGGACTGAGGAGCCCGTTTAAAAGTACTGCAGTGTGATTTTGATTTCTCCCACTGAATGAATCACTCCTCCTGAATGCAAACACCAGCAAAGAATGCGTTAGAGGATCCGCCATCATATTAAAAATTAAATCCGGCTGCATTTCATAATGGGCTTTCCTTTTTAAAGCACGGTTTCATCTTCTCACCATGGAAATTGCGTTCTGATGGCTTGTTCTTTATGGTTAACACTGAGGCATCGGCCGGGGTCAGAACCCTGCCTCTCTGAACAGGGAACCACAAATGTCACAGACACATGGTACGCTTGGCAAATAATATATTTCTTTCCAATCTCCTGTGTGTCTTCAGTTTGCCTAGCGTCATGCTCATGCTCGGGGTAAGCTGAGAGAGTTTTATTTCTCAGGTCTTCTTTCCTTCCTTTGGTGGAACCAGCGGGAGGCATGCAATTTACAATGAATTCAAAAGTGCTCCTCTTTTGATTTTTCTTGTTGTCTTTATTTTAACCTCCAAGAAGAGAGAGATTTAACTCAGTCTTCACCCCAGGCTAAGCTAATACTTAGGTCATGTCTGAGCTCTCTGGGGAACCCCGCTTTATACCATCCGAGGGGCAACGGGGTCTTTTCACGTGGAGCTAGCACAGCTGTCCAGCCATATGGGCCCCAAACAGCCCAGTCAATCGGATTTGGGGAGGTTTTACAATGTAATTTCTTAACGTGCTAGTATTTGGGGTGAGTTTGATCAGGGGTAGAGACAGCTCTTAAGCCCAAGGGTTTAGGTTTTAAGAAGCCATCACAAATGTCCCAGCATCTGAGCAGACTGGTTAAAAACAGCTAAGAAATCTGTGACTGGGGGAGGGGAAAGGACTCCTGACCCCCTCGTTGGAGAGAGCCCCAGGGGTATGCTATAACTATTAATTCGGCATCAGCTGCTTTTTTTCTTTTCTTTTTTAACCCGGGGCTCATCATTTAAGGCGTTCCCACTCAGGCCTGCAGAGCCTGTTACAAAACCATCTCTCTGCTCCCCTCCCCCCATGCCGCAAGATGAGAGAGCAAATATCCTGCATTGCAGCAACCCGCGCAGAAGGACTGCATTGAAACCGTCCTCAAGCTAAACAAAACCAGGCCTTTAAGAAAAACCTAGGGACGGGCAGCAGCGGTGTGTCCTGCGGCCTCTCAGGCAAAACGCGCTCCAAGTCGCAGCCCCATCCCTCCACGTAGAAGCGGTTCAGAAACTGCCTAAGGAATTCTTAGGGACTAGAAGACAGTCCTGAATCTAAAACCCTCATCAAAATGGTGGAAGTCCTGAACCAAACTACCGCCAATATAGTTGTGCCACCCGAAAAGTATTTTTAGTTGGAGGGGAGCGTTAGCCGAATGGTAAGTTTTCCCCAGAAAGCTATCCCACACGATGGCTCTTTCCAACTAACTACACAGTCTTCAGAAATTAAGAATCTATTGCAGGAATGTTTTCTATTCTTTTCTTCTCCTCTCTCTATTTCTCCCTCTCTGTCTCGCTCTCCCTCTCAGTTTAAACCAAAGCTTTCCTTTTCTTAGAATTTACAAAAACTGCTTATTTTTAAGCTTTCTCGTGGTACACTGTTGGAGGCAGGAAGCCAGTGCTACGGGGTTTTGAGTTCGCTGTTCTTCTGTTGGGACAAACACCCAGTAATGGACAACCCAAATGGCCTTGAAGCTAGCGGGACGGCGCCCAGGGTCACCGTTCATCTGGACCCTTCCGGCTCGGCGGGCGCTCATCTGCAGCGACCCCCGCAGGACCGCTCTCGGCCGCCCCGCACGGGCCATCAGATTTGAGGAGCTGCTTTTAGCTGTCAGGGGCTTGTGCTACACCTATCCATCTCTCGGTGCTCTGAAGCCCGCGCTGCCCAAGAAACAGTTTGGGGTTTTGTTGTTGTTTTTGTTGTTGTTGTTGTTGTTGTTGTTGTTGTGTTTTAAGTCCTCAAAGCAGAAAAGCCAGAGTAGGAGAAGCAGATGGGCCCTGCGCGTGCGGAAATCGCCGGGGCTGGGGTTGACTCCCGCGGCTGCCGAACGGACTCTCCGGGGAAGACGGAAGATTTCTCATTGCTGGCGCTGGGCTTTTTGTCGGGGGCTTAGGCCGGGGGTGTCTTTGGGTTTTGTGTTTATGGGCAGATTCATTCTGAGTCCTTCCTTAAGACCAAGCTAACCCCGTGCTCCCGGAAAAACACACAACACTGGCCACAACTATCACAACAAAAGGCGCCTCCCCGAAGTGAGTCTAAATGTACGCGGGACGGGTGGCGGCCGGACGTGGAGACGCACTTTTGTGCCTCTCTAATCTCGGGAGTCCATCTGGCCCCGGCGGGCGCCGGCGGGCGGGAGGGCGCGGAAGGGGGGGGCGGGAGGAGGGGAGCCGGGAGGGGCGCGCGCACGTACCCAAAGGCGCGGGCACGCGCGCCCGCTCTCCTTCACATTCACCTTGACTGCAGGGGGGCGGAGGATGGGACTACCTTCCCCCCTCACCACCAGCCCTTCTCCCCACCCCACCCCCGCCGCTGTCCTGCCCAGACGCTGCTAGGGGCTGGGAGGGAGGGATGGAGGGGAGGTGCAAAGGCTCTCGGGTCGCCGCAGCGGCCGGACAGCCGCGTGCTCTCCGCAGTGATGTCAACCGCATCCGCCGCAGCAACCCCCCCTCCATCCACTCCCACCTCCGGCCTCGCCCGCGCCGCGGTCCTCGGAAACCCCTGTCTGGCGCCTCCAGCCTGGGGACGAGAAGCAGGGGGAGTGCCGGTGTCCTGAGCCCCCCACTCCATTTGCAAAAGTGGGAGAGCCTGGGAGTGGACGAACCGTGGTGCCGCGGCTCCCGGGGCGGAGGAAGGGAAGGGGGGGGCGGCGGACCTGGGTGTAGGTTTGACGCCCAGGACTGTTGAAGGGAGTCTGCCCGGGACTGGTGCAGCCGGGGTTACGTTTAGGGGGCGTAGGGCACGCATCACTGCAGGTGCTGCGCTTGTGGGCACGGCAAAAGCGCCCCCTTCGCCCAGGATAGAAACGGATAAACGGAAGCGCGTGTGAGTGTGGGGGTGCGAATTGCCACCTCCAACCTTGGCTTTCCCGCTCTTCCGAGCGCTCCCACTTCTCACTTTCCCCAAATCCGCATTTTCCTTGGCACAGCTCTCCCGGAGCAAGAAGGAGAGGGAGGTACCCGGGGGCAGTGAGAATGACGTGTGCTGGTGCAGAGAGCGGGTGGGGGGCTGCGGGCTCCGCTCTGTGGACCGGCTCCTAATCCTCTTGTTTTCGGTACAGTCAGCAGATGTGGCTTCTTTTAGCTGAATAATCCGTTAAGGGAATAATAATTTTAAAAAGGAGATCGACCTCACCCAAAGAGGATGGCGAACGAGATTAGGGCTTGGTAAGGATACATTAAAAGGCTCCAAATTCTGTCCCTCTCTGCCTCCCTCTCTACCCACCTCCCCCTCCCTGCACCACCCTCCCTTCCCCCCCCTTCTGCCTCATCCCCCTGCAATCCGCACTCGACGCGAGTTCACGCGGAGGGCTGGATTTTCAGGCTGAACCGCAACTTGCGCTGCGCGTTATTATTATTCATCTGAGGGCGCTGCCGCCACAACCTTTGCCTCCTGCGCTCCTCTCCTTCCCCCCGGCCGCCGCCGCCAGCAGTGCAGTCCCTCCTGCACGCATGCTCTGGTTCACCAAAGGGAGATTCGGAATTTTTTATCATGCTCATGATCATCATCATGATGCTCCTTATCATGGTTATCATTTCCTCCTGCCAGGTGGAGCGACCACCAGCGCCTTCTCGCCACCCGCCCCTTCCCCAGCGAAGGAAGCAATGCGGGCCCGACCCCGGCGGCCGCTCCCTAGATGCGGGCTTCCTTTGCCTCTCCGCATCCCTCCCTCATTCATCTGCATGTATCTGTCTCGATCCCTTTATTCCAGTAGATCTATTGCCTGCTTATGGGCTGGCTGAAACGCTGCGGACTGCGACCAGTCTCTTAAAAAGAACAAAAAGAGGAAGACCTTGAGTGGACCCCAGGACAAAGCACTTTGGGCTCAACAAGAAGCGACGCGCGGGAGCGCTGGCTCCGAACGGGAGTGATCTCCGGTGCCCAAGAGCGCCCATCCAGCGTGCGGACCTCTGAGGGTATTCGGATTGAATTTTATGTATCCTTTTGGCATGCTTGAACAGTGACATTGTTGGGGAGGGGGAGGGTTTGGTTTGTTTCGTTTTTCTGGGAAAGCGAGCTGAATGGTGGGAGATCAGGTAGACTTAAGTTGGTTTTCCTGCTCCCCTGCCTCGCCTTCTCGAGATCCGGGTGTTGGAGAAGAGACACTGGGAATCAGAAGGCTTAGAAAAGAGTAGACACCGGAGATGTTGTCGGAGGGCTAAGGGAGGGCTAAGGGAAGGGTGAGGCGAGGGGTAGGTGAGTGGGGACGGGCCAGCTGGAGGAGGATTTCGAAAATAGGAGGTTTCTTTAAACCCGCCTTCGGGTTCACAGGATGAGTTTTGCTGGGGAGAATATGGTTGTCTGTCCATAGAAGCTCTGAGAAATTGATGAAAAATTGATATGTCCATGTACACACATAAGGAGGCGTCTGGATTTGTGTGTAAACAGAGTGGAGAGGTGGAGGAGGGCATGGAGGGAGGGGGCTTAAAATAATGTCTTATTATCCCTTTGGCTTTGGGGACTCTCATCCTCTGTCCCTCCCCCTTTTTTTGACCCAGGGATCCAGCTGCATTAGACACGAGTGACCTTTTAAATCTACGCCCACCCTTCACCTGGTAAAGCCCGTTGACAGTTTGGGGTGGGGTGGGGTGGGGTAAGGAGAGTGGTAGGGGTGTTTCGAAGACGTATATATATTCTCTCTCTCCCCCTCCCCTCCTCCCCTCTCTCCTTCCTCTTCCCTCCACCCCTCTCCTCCCCTCCCCTCCGTCTCCTCCTCCCTCGCTCTCCCCCCATCACTCTTTCTCTTCCTCCCTCCCACCTCCCTCACTCCCTCCCTCCCTGCTGCATTTTGCATGAGCTATCTAGGTCATTAGCATTTTAGCGTATGCAAGACTTGACAAAGCTGATGAGGGGCCAGATGGGCCTCGCTCTTATGGGGTTTTTTTTTTTCCCCTTTTTTTCCCCCCTCTTTTCCTTTTTCCCCTCCACCACTTGGGACCTGAGCAAGAGGACTGCAGCAGGCGAGTTTCGGAAGGCTGCCTCCCCAGATCCCGGCCCGGAGCGCGGCAGCTCGCCCCTGCGGCACGCCCGGCCAGCCTGCGCCCGCACTCAGCCAGCGAGGTAAAGGCGGCGGCGGCGCGCCCTGCCCTGGCAGCCGCTGCCAAGCCCCCGCTGCCCTCCGCGTCTTGTGCCCTCGACTTCCTCCTCCTGGCCCCCTTCAGTTTACTGGGCTAAACTGAGGGTGAGAGATGGGTGGGTAGGGTTTGCTGTGCTGGGGCGAGGTGGGGTTGGTGGTGTTTTTTGTTTTTTGTTTTTCCATTGTCTGGAGCTGCAGGGGAGGCGAGGCGCGAGGAAGGGGCTAAGGGAGTCGGGGTAATTAACACGGGGGAGGCACCCCTCCGTCTCCCACTTCCACCCACACCCCCAACCCTCCACCCCCTCCGCTTTGCAGGAAAAAGCCTGGATCCGAAAGGATGGGGGAGAACAAAGAGCCTTTGGAAGACGTCGCTGTTATCTCATTGTCTGTGTGATTGGGGGAGCTGCGGTAGGGAGGATGCTGTGGTCCTGTTCTCCCTGCCTCCCCACCCCCATCCTTCTCCCCGCTGTCAGTGCGCACGCACGCGCGCTTCTTTTTACTTCTTTTTCCTTGTTTTCTCATTCCATCTTCTCCCCAGCCCCCTTCCTTTCTTGTACCTGTCCTTCCTTCCTCCTTTCCTTCCTCAGGAGAAAGGCCTCTCTCTCCGTGTTCACAGCGGACCTTGATTTAAATGTCCATACAATTAAGGCACGCGGTGAATGCCAAGAATGGGGCTGGCTGAGCACCGTCGGTCCGCGAGGGCCCGCCGGGAAGGAGCCACAGAGCCGAGGCGCCCTCCGCAGAGCTCAGCGCCGCGGCTTGGGGCGGGAGGGGTCTCGGGCTTGCGCTGGCCAGGCTGCCCCAAACCGGAGCCCTTGGGGTGGGGAGGTGTGCAGCTTGTGACAGACAGGGGGGCTTAGAGACGCAGACAGACTCAGGGAGAGAAGCTGATTCTGTGACAGAAACACAGATCTGGGCAAGCACAGATGTGATGGGGGGCGGGGGGGGTGCCTGTGAGCGCATTACGGAGTGCTTCTGTGTGCATATTTTTCTCTGGGCTGGGGGCGCATTGTATGTGGGTCGACACCTTCCATGGCTGTGTTTTTGTTCTGGGCTTAGCTTTTGGTTTGCCCTTTAAAAAAATAATCTGGCATCCAGAAGACTGGCAGTCTGTGCCAGGGCTTGGACTGCAGATATATTGTGTTCTCCTTGAGGTTGGGGGTGGGGGGGAGGAGGCTGGGTAGCCAGTTGGAAGGGAGGAGGGAGGTATTTGTCATTCTTTGCTGTAGAGCTGGGGGCACCTGACAAGCTTAAGGAAGTCATTGGGATATATGAGAAAGAAGGAACAAACTCCTGGAAGGTTCACAAGCTCCATCGGGGCTGAAAGCATGGCCAGGGCTCTTAGGAGCATCTCACTTCCTCCTTGCGGCTGTAATTGTAGTTTCAGGCAGAGATCCAGGACATGCAGAGGAAGGGAGAGGCGCAATAACCTACATGTACCAAAGGGGGGGAGGGAATGAATTCCTTCTTAAATCTGAACCGAAGGAAAAACAGAATGTGCACAAGTGTTTCTGAGGAAAGACTGTTTTGAAAGAGGCTGTCAGGGAATAGAAAGGGCTAGCCCTCCCTCATCCTGAAGAAGCTGCTTCCCAAATCAGGCCTTCCTCCCCAGCCCTAGATGGAGAGCAGCAGCTGGTCCTAGGGAGAACCCCTAGCTGCAGCGGATAGTGGCAAGACCTAAACTCATAAATTTCCAGGTGGAGAAAATGGTAGAGGCGCAGGTCCCTGCAGAGAAAGGAGGCCAAGAGCTGGATCTTCCCACCAGGAAGCCTGCTGCATCCCTTTCCCCACCCTTGGCAGAGGCCTGTCTTTGCAAGGCCAAGGCCATAAGGGATGCTTGGGATTTTAGTTTGATTCCTGACACATTAATCGAGGCCTAAAGGAGTCTTGGGTAAAGCTTGCTTGCTTTTCCTGCGCAAAGCCTCAGTCTAACCCACTTAGCAAATTAGTATTCAAGGATACCATGGAGCCCTAGCCTCATTTCTTCCCAAATACTTATTGAGTACCTACTATGTGCCAATCATTGTGTAATTATATCTTAGGTTCTTCCTTTGCCCTCCTAAAGGAGTGTCTGGAGTCAGGTGAGGCTAAGTGCGCTGTGCCCCCGCTAGATACTCCCAGAACCTTCTCTGTGGAAATGTACCACAACCTGCTCACCCCTGCAGAAGGTGGCAGTCTTCATCATGCAAACTGTAGGCATGGTGCTATCCCTCAAGTCCCAGAAGGCAAGTTTGCCCAAAGGACCGAAAAGAGAGCAGTTTCTCCGGCCCCTGAGCCTTAGCCAACGTTGTCCTAAGAGGCAGCAAAACCCAGGGCCTTCACAACAGACCAGCCTCCAAATGGAGCCTCCGTGGGGTGTAAATACCCTTGCCTCCCCCCTCCCTCTTCCCTAAGAAGGCTGCTCTTGTGTTGGGGGTGGGGGAGCACGGTTTAAGCCTCTGATGACCAACCCTTTGCCCCACGGTTGTCCAAGATAGTGAGATTTGTCTCTGTAATTGCTTCCCCATGAGTCCATCAGACGTGGCTTACCCTTCCTCTGATGCGCCTGCCCGGCAGTACAGTCTCCAGCTCCCTCCCCCACCCAAGTAATGGGCCTTTTAGGTGGAAACCTAACACGCTTCTCCCTGAGAGCTCAAACCACAGGCACCATGGACAAGGCCCGCCAGGTTCCTGCTGCTGAAAAACTAGGCAGGGAGGGGCGTATTTTTTATTACTTATGTAAACTCTTGTTCCAGAAAGCTTTAATGGGTGTGGGAGTGTTCTAGGTTTGCCGGTCTGTGTGCCTGGGTGTGGGGGTTTTCCTGTGTTCACCAGGTCTCATTATGAAATGTATTGTTATGTGGGGCTTTAATGGCCGAAATGGCAGAGATGAATGCACCACTCTGCCCCTGGTGTAATTTCAAGGCCCCTTTTGTGTTCACCAAATAGAGGCATCCGAGTGAAGGTCAGTCCTAGATCCTTCCCTTCTGCTATATTCAGGGCCTGTTTATACCTAGTGATACTTACATAAGAAAACTGAAGATTTATGCCCTTCTAAGGCATTTCTTTAACTCTCAACATCATCTGCTTGCTTGTCTACTTGAGCCCCTCTAGTTACATCCTCTGCCTTAAATGAAGGGGAAATATATGATTGTTAAAAGATGGGACATGTTGAGGCAGTTTGCTGACTGAATATGCCAAGAAAGCCCCCATGAGTCCACACACATCACCATCATTATGGTCTTCGTGACTGTGGGAGTTCATATGTCCCTCAAGGTGACTGCACCAGATATATTAAGATGGATTTAGAAATGTTATCAAAGGAAAGATTGGTAATATTATTCTTTCTCCTGCCAGAGACGGCCCAGGCCCAGATCTCTGTTTAAGCAGAAAAGAAACAGATCTTGTAACAAAAGCTAAGGTAAATTCCGCTATCATTTCTATCACCAAAGGGGTGGGGAGCAGGGACAGTTTTTGTGGCTTAGCCAGAGAAATGAATAACTGGGTAGAGTTGCTTTCCCAGCAGGCATATGCCCATACACACACGTATGTACATACATTTTCTCTCATAACCATATCCATTGCTTACATTTATAGAAAAGCATTTAAACACACACACACACACACACACACACACACACACATCTATCCATCTATACTGTCTGCACAGGGAGATAATTTTCTCTTTCCTTCTACTGAACTTACATAATACCCCCACCCCTTGTTCCAACCTTAGAATGGAGTCCTCTGGGGGCAGCTGCAAAGCACTCTCCCTAGGACAGATGGAGCCTCCCCTCCTCATCTACTCTGTGGGTGGTTTTAGAGCCCCATGAGTCAACTGGGACTGAGGGTTGTGCTGGTGGTATGTGCGTGTGAGGCTTCCCTGGCTGATTGACAGCGATGAGTATGTCAATAACAACAATTATGAGAATTATGATACCTAATAAAGATTTTTTTTTCTTCCAAGTCCCATCTATAATTCTTTCATTCGGGTGTTTTTGCCAAGTCTTACCCCATTTGACTCCAGTTAAAAACAACAACAACAAAACCATTTAATAGTTAATTGCATCTCCAATGTAGACCTAGAACAAGAAAAAGGACTTCAAATGGGATTTGGTCCAGTCCATGTGTGCTGCTTTGTGCCACCTTATCCGGATGCTGGGGGCCTGGAGAGATCTGCACCAAATTTAGATGGCCTGGAAAAAATGCAGGCCTGACTGAGAGCAAAAAATGTTCCAGGTCAGAAATGAAGTTTCAGCAGCTCTCAATAGGTTCACCTTTTCCTTTTCTTACCATTCTCCCTTTTGTGTTAAGATAGAAATGTTTGCCCCCGGAAAAATGAGGACCTGGGCCATGGCTGCATATGCCCCTAAAATAAACCTCCAGGATGACTAGGGGCTTTCTCAGAATTAGAGTGTGGGCAGGTTTATTTGAAATTAAAATCCAGTCTATTTCTTAGACATGTACCAATACTCAGACCTAGAACGTAGGAGGCGGTATTGTCGCTGTAAGTTACTCTTGCTACTTCGTGTGACCTGTTCAAGGCCGTTCTTCGTGGAGAGGAGCGAGCGTGCTGTCCAGCCTGGGCAGCAGGGTTGCGGGCTAGGCTTCGCCATCCACCCTGCCCGCGGGGGCCCGGGGCTTCGCAGTTACCTGCATTCCAACGCGCACGGGGCTCTTTTCCCTTTCTGCTAATGCTCCTGAGACATCTAAATTGAACAAGGCGAAAACGAATGGGCTGGTTTCCTCTTTCTTTTCTTCCTTGCCCCTGTTTCCCCAGCTTTGATTTCTTTTCTTGCCTGAATCAAGAAACGGGGCCCCAAAGCCCTGGGTCGTCCCGCATTTCCAAAGCTTTGGACTGATCCGAGATGGGGGTAGATGCAGAGACAGCAGGGCGTCCTGGGCGCCTGGCCCCGCACGGCGGAGACAGCTCCAGAGGCCCACCTCTTTCCCTCTGCCGCGCACCTCCTTTTCTCCAGTTTCGCTCCAGCGCCAGGTGGATACACGACCGTCAAGTCAGAGATCATTACGGAGTCGGGGGTGGGGGTGGGGTCGAGGCGGGGGTACATCTTTAGCTTGGAAGAATGGGACAGGGCCAACCGAAGGCCTTGGCGGAATGGAATGTCTTCAGTTCCCAGCACCCTGGCGCTTCCCGAGCCGCAGGCCGCGGCCTAGACGCTGCTACGCCTTCCCGCCGCGTACCCGGCCGGGCCTTGGAGCACGGAGGACCAGGGGCCGCAGGGCGGTCCGTCTCCCCTCATCCTTCTCCAGGCCTCCTTCCCGTCCGCTCCAGGACCTGCGGTCTCTACGACCTCATCCTGCACCCCGGAAAGCCGCAGGATGTGCGAGAAAGAGGAGCGGGCACAGCCCAGGGAGGAGGTTGGGAGAGGACCCCAACTGAAAGCCGGCTTCCCACCAGCAGAGCGCCCCAGTGAAAGCTCTTTAGGGGTGGATTTTTGGAAAGAGGGGGAGGTGTTTCCGCCCCAGTCCGTCCTCGGTGACTCCCCTTTACACCACCCAGCCTCCCACATCCCCTCTACCCACGGAGCCGTGGCGATGGGGCCAGGTCGCTGGGCACGGTCCCCCAGGACCCAGCAACCCACCACCCCCCGCGACACCTCCTGGCCATCCCCAAATACCCTCCTCCCCCACCCCCACCACACTCTCTAAAGAAGCCAAAACAACCACCACTGAATCCTCAACCCAGAAGCAAAGCGACACACACTTCTCCTTCAGCCTTAGCGCTAGTCTGACGCCAGAGGAGATGGAGCCTCTGAGAAGTCGGCCTGAAACAGAGGGGCAGACACGCTGTGTCTTCGTGAGCCCCCAGACCCCTGCCCCGGGCGGAGGAGATACGCAGCCTTCCCGTCCACTGGTCCACTGGACGCGGCCTGTCTTAAAAAGAACTTAATTCTGGGGCGCCTGGGTGGCTCAGTTGGTTGAGCGACTGCCTTCGGCTCGAGTCATGGTCCTGGAGTCCTGGGATCGAGTCCCGCATCGGGCTCCCTGCTCGGCAGGGAGTCTGCTTCTCCCTTGACCCTCCCCCCTCGCATGCTCTCTCTCTATCTCATTCTCTCTCAAATAAATAAATAAAATCTTTAAAAAAAAAAGAACTTAATTCCCTCCTTTTCCTCACCTGCTAAAGGCCCACCAGAGTGCAGAGTCAGTGACGTGAGGCTCCTTTGGATGAACGGGCCAGTGCCCTGAAATAACCTTCAGAGCCTAGTCTCAAGGTCACGTGCCCAAGGAAAGGAGGCCGATTGGCCGCAAGAGGCTACCGGTCCGGACCAGAACCAGCCTGGCAAAGGTCAACGCCACCGAAAGCTTCCAACGCCTAGGAGAGTGCACCTGGCCTTCACAGGGCCTTCAGCCCCCTCTCACACTTCACCCAGATTGATGTGGCAATATTTATTCCCATTTAATTGAGACACTGGTTTAATTTCAGATTGCCTTGGTTTAAGGCCCAATGGGGTTTTCTGCAGCTCTTTTCCCCAGTGCCTCTACAGAAACTAATTGCTGTTAATATCCAATTTTGGCTTTATTATTCGTTAGCCAATTACGTATCCCATAGCCCAGGCCCCTTGCTGCTTACTGTCTCTGCTGGAATCAGCTAACACTATGCCTGGCTTCTGCTTCTTGCCTTCGCCTCTATTCAGGCCCTTCCCCCACCCAAGATGATTTACAGGACACATCAGTCATTTGGTTCGTCCCAGCACTTAGCACAGTTGGGGAGGGGGGCACGCACTTTCAGGCTTTTTTTCTCCCTTTGAGGGAGATTTCTTCTTTGCAGGTAAAGTAAACAATTCCCACTTTTTAAAAAAGAAAATGCAAGTTTTTCTGCTCTCTCTTCACCACCTCTGGGCTTTCTTTTTCTGGAGCCATTTTCGGAGTAGTCTGTCTCAGCCAGAAGCAAGCCTGGTTGCCTCAGCCTTAGAGTTTCCTCTCCCTCCTGGCTCTCCTCTTACCTCCCCCAGGGCCTGGCTGAAAGCTACCCCGTTTATGTAACACCATCGGCTCTAACAGAGTGCTCCGACCATGTCATTTCACATTTCAAGAAGGGAAACTTGAAAAAGCAATTTAGGAAAAGGCACCATTTTCAGAGATGAGGAGGGGAGCTTTTGTCTCTCCCACAGATGCCCTGGAAACCGCTCCTGCTTTAGTTCCTTACCCTTCAGAGCTGACGCAATTGGGGCCAAGAGCCTTTAAAAAAAGTGGGGGTTTTTTCCTCGTTTTATTTGTGTGCCCCGAGTTCACTGACATGCCGAAGAAAGCGCTTCCGGTTACTGGTGCTCTGGAAACAGGAAAATAAAAGTAAAAATCATAACCGACAGCAGGAAGATCCTTCTTTGTCTGTTTTCCTTTCTTCCCCCATTTTGAAATAACGCTTTAAATGCTCTCATGTGCTCTTATATTTATCTCTAGCGGTTCTATAGCAACCTGCTTAGTGTCAGCATCAGAATCAATGGAAATAAAACAAAATGTCAGAGCGGCGGGCTCTAGCCGAGGCCTCCCTTTGCCACCTGGAGGCCCATCATCCCCTTCTGAGGAGGCTGAAGACTCATCACGGCCTGGGAATCCGACAGTCAGGTTTTTCAGAGGGAGGAAGTGGGGGTGAATGTTGTGTAGGTCTGGGACACTGTTAAGAAGGTGCCTTACACATAAGTCTCAATAAACACCACCAATTGGATGTAATTTAATTAGCAGCAGCTGTCCTGCTTTTCTTGCAGAAAAGCTTCAATTATGCCTTAAGGCCTTTTGGGTAGAGGACAGATAGAGTGACCTCACAGAGAATGAAGGGGCTTAAAAATGTTTCTGGTTCGTCCCCTAGCCTCAGCCCTGCTTGACTCATCCAGGTGTCTGGTTCGTCGCCTAGCCTCAGCCCTGCTTGACTCATCCAGGTGTCTGGAGTTTGATTTTCCAAACTGTGCATGAGTGGTAGAGAGACTGAATACATGCCCAGTCCCAGGCAAAAATTCAAAGAGTAAAAAACTCTTCTTTGGGACACCTGGGTGGCTCAGTTGGTTAAGAGACTGCCTTCAGCTCAGTCATGATCCCAGGGTCCTGGGATCGAGTCCCACATCGGGCTCCTTGCTCAGCGGGGAACCTGCTTCTCCCTCTCTCTCCCTCTGCTTGTGCTCTCTCTGTCAAATAAATAAAATCTTTAAAAAAAAAAAAACTCTTCTTTGGAATCCTATCTTCCTTGTAGAGCACTTCTTTTACTTTCTAATTACCCTCCTACTCAAATATCTCCCTTCATCACCCCCTATTCACATCTCACCCAAGGTCTGCCTCCCGGGGGGTGGGGGGTGTGGGGGGGTTGCTGCTGTAAATAAGTAAGTAAATAAATATCCATTTCTATTTCCTTCAAGTGTCCTCCTCCCAGCCCCTTGGAAACATCTACATTCTCAATGGTCAACAGGTGTTAGGAGGTTAAGCCATCTCACAGTAATATGTGAGTTGCTCAGTCTCTTAACTTTCCCAGAGATATTTCTATTTTAGAAGAGGCACTTAAAATAACAAGTGGGATTCAGTTGTAGGAGTTTCTTATAAAGGCATCCAAGAGTGGGAAAGCAGAAGAGCATCAACTTTCCCAATTTTGTGTGAGGAAAGCATCATCGCCCCTTCATTGCAGACAGACCAATGCTCCAAACACATAGATCTGATATAGTTCATAAGAAAACACATTTCAGGGCACCTGGCTGGCTCAGTTGGTAGAGCATGTGACTCAATCTCAGGGTGTAAGTTCAGGCCCCATGTTGGGTGTAGAGATTACTTAAAAAAATAAAATCGGGGAGTTTTTGGGTTTTTTTAGAGAGAGAGAGAGCATGTGAGTGGGCAGGAGAAAGGGAAGAGGGAGAGAGAGAATCCTAAGCAGACTCCATGCCCAGCACAGAGCTCATCGTGGGGCTCAATCTCACAACCCTGAGATCATGACCTGAGTCAAAACCAAGAGCCAGACACTTAAC